ATTTCTCCTCGTCGATTCTAATTTCGGGTATTGCATGATTAATAAGACCAAAATCCTCGATATCACATTCAACCATTTGTAGACACCTTGAAGGTTCAGTTTCGACGACGCATTTGGAGGTTGTGCAGCTTCCTTCTAGAAGGGGAATATTCAGCGATTCCATTGGATGGTCGGAATGTACATCGTTTTCTTCTTGTACACCCGGGAGTGCAAGCTGAGAACTGCACCCATAATTATATTTCCACTCAATAAAATCAATTTATGATTATGATATTTTATTTTATCGACTTGTGCAAATGGCTGAATTACTAGGCAAATGGGGTTCGGGTTGGGTTCGAACCTTGCTAGAGCACTCGCGAAGTATTTGCAGTCTGCTCTCAAAGGGCATGCATTACAATTCGGGTTTCTCTTTGTACAAAATACCTGTTACGTATATGTATAGTCAAAGTAAGACAACTTATTACTAAGTTTTTTTGTGAATTAAAAGAATAGTAAAACAAAAATACCTTCCCCAAAGTGATCATATGGCAATGTAGTTCATACCTGCACCATGCATTATTTTACATTTTAATACAGGAACTCATGATAAATTATGTCATGTATAAATTTATTTATTTATTGGTGATCTTAAAAAGTGAGAATCGAGCAACAAGGTGAAAAGAAATACGGAATTGCATTTTTCTTACAGTGTCGACGGATCATGTTTACAAAGGCGGGGCCAGAGATATATCTGTATAGAGTCCACCTTCGGGTACCTATACTAATAATGCTAATTAATATCAAGTAAAATACTGCAAATTTATATTTTGTTTATTGTATTTTAAAAGCTATATAGTTTAAATTTGTCACTCTTTCAAGAGGTGGAACTCAAGTCCTTCTGGAAGCGGTTGAAGTGGGACCCATCCGAGACGTACAGCTACTCGTCCAGCATTCCTATCAATCTAATCGACAAAAAAGAATGGTTTTTTTTCTTTATTTTTTAAACTAAATAAAAAAAGAACGAGCGTAAAATATGCAATAACGATAATTTCGAGAAATACTTACGGGGAATGCCTTATGTAAAAGTGTCAACAAGCGTATGCACTCCACACTTTTCAGTCCTAGACCCGGTATGCTCAACAGGTATTCTCTACACCATAATCGAGACTTTTATATACTTGCATGCATCTAATTTGCGTTAATATTATTTATGCTAATAATATTATACTTTTCCAATTGAAATAAATATAATTTTCTTGATTATGATTATAATAGAACAAATGTAATGGACTGGCTAATTAATTACTTTGCTTTGTCGGGTGGAACATGTCTTATCCATTCCAAATTAACGCTCCCAAGATCCTCCGATAAAATGTTGAGACAATTCTGCAACAAAAATTTAAATCATAATTTAAATCATAATTTAAATCATAATTATAAGTTATAATATAGGAAATTAAACCTTTATTCTTTCAGCCAAATGATTGCTCATTCCTCTATTCTTTATGGCTTTAGCTATTTCGTCGGGCTCCGCTATTCTAACAGCGTCCCAATCCAAAGCATTTGATGACGTGTCGTGTGCTGTAATGTCGTCTTTAGAATAATATTTCCTTAAATTATCCCAATCGATAGCTTCTTCTTCCTTTTTAATTCTTTTTCTTCTAAAACATTTATTTTCCGTCCCCATCTTGAATTTAGAGTTAGGCCCTAATACAGTTTTATCATTCAAAGATCCAATGCAATTTTCGACTCCAGAATTTACTCCGTGTGGATATTTAGCAGCAAGTGATATAAACGCGGAGCTGCAAGCATGCACAAATTTTATTCAATGAAACGAATAAAATAAAAAAAAAAAACATCGTCATATAATACTTATAATATATATATCTTCGTTTTTTAGAATGAATAGGTTGTATACCTTGAAAGAGTGTCGCTGACATTCTGCGTAAGGTATGCTCCACCGATGGAATCAATTACCGAACCTTTCCATTGGGAAAATTTCCTTTCACCTGCAAAATTAATATTGCAAACTAAATAAAATTTAAATAAATAAATGGATCCAAGCTTAAAATAAATTAAAGTACCTTGGATAAGGTGCATGCTGGAGATGAATGATTTTACACGCTCGTTCATCAATTCTCTCTCCTTATCCCACCACTCTCTCTCCTCTTCATCTACATCTTGATCTTCAATGTTTTCGGAATCTCGTTTCTCCATCAAAATTGTCCATTCTTTCAATGTCCTTTCATCAAGTTCTACTTTTGCTATTTCTTGCGTTTTCACATTTACTATTTTGTCCTTGCAAGGAACTACCATCATTCCTTCCTTTGTATGCTCTGTTTTCGCAAGGACTAAATTGCCCTTCTTTTTCGTAGCTCTTCTCTTCGCTCCTGCATGCATGCACAATTATGTGAACTACATATACATAACATAAACTTCACTAATATTCACATTTAGGTATGAATCACTATATTATATATATATACCTTGTCTGAGTAAACTCGGCCAGATTATTTTCTTTCGAACATGGTACTTATCGTTTTTCCTCCTGTGATAAACTATGATCTCCTCATCATCATGCATATGTTCATGACCTTTACTCGTAAATTGTTGATG